GGGGGAGCTCAAATAAATAAGATACGAGTTCTAGGTCCATTGCGAGTCCAGCGATTCAAAAAGCCGGCCGATGACAATAAAATGAAGGAACTGAACAAGGAAACAAGAAAACCTTGTACTGTAAAAATTGTGGACCTAACAATCACAATGCTGGCAATTCTATGCAAAGGGGCATGTAAACAAGCAAACTTCGAGCAACCGTCAAGGTGTTTTCACTGGGTTTGCACAAACTGCAATTTCAAATGGGTCGATGGATATTGTGATAGATTGTGGATGCACGAACCATATCATTCCAGACAAATCAAATATATTAAAATAGTTTTCTACGCGATGTGATTTCCGATGTTTTTTTACTAGGGGGGAGGGGGGTTGGGACGCAAGAGCGAGGACATGGCGTTGGAGAAGTTTTCCTCCCATTCTATGATCGTAATAAAGCTAAGAACACTCCAGCGCGCATTGTATGAGCCGAGCTTCAAACTTCATTTGATGTCAGTTTCAATTCTAGTTAAGCAAGGAAACACAGTGATTTTTAACCAAAATCTGCATATACGCGTGGGACAATAAAAAGCTTTTTTTTGAAAGAGATTGTCTTTTTTTGTTTAAACACAGTGCAGAGGAGCAAAATTTGTCGTCATTGTCAATTGCTAAGCGACATGCAAGAATGTCTTATGCAAGTTGTGAAAAACTGGATAGAACTGCAAATCAAGCAGTAATATGTATTGTTATTTCCGGTTCATTGGCAACCGATAAATGAACTACGTGTTCAGAATGTAAGAGATCTACGTCTGAGATATCTGAAAACCCTCAAGTTAGGGCAAAACGAAAAATTGAACTAGTCCACAGTAACGTTTGTGGACTCTTTCCAGAATCATTGCAAATAGGCAATTTCCTGTTTTGAAGATTTTTCAAGATACGCAACAGTAAATTTTATGGCCTCTGAAGGCGATTCATGAGCAAAACTACAATTTTTCTTAATCGATGGTCCAACCATGTAGAGTAACTGGACTCGCACTCAGGTCAGAGCATGGTGGGGAATATATTTCACGCAAATTGCAAAATTTTGCAAAAAAACATTGCACAGCAATTTAAAGTCATTATTCCTCATCAAATGGTATGGCCGAGGCTTTTGGCGAACGGTTTTTGACAATGAACGAGCTCTTTTATTATCGTCAAAGTTACCAGAAACTTTTTGGGTTAGGGCAGTTGATACCATAGTATACACAAGAAATAGTGTACTAAAGATCTGCTATTAAAGGTGATGAAACACCCTACGAAATGTTTTTTTTTGGAAAGCAGCCCAGTGTTCTTATTCAAGGTTTTTTGGTTGCTTATGTACATCAAAAAATGAAATCCATCAGCACAAGTTATTACCCCAAGGCCAAAATGCACTTTTTTGCTGGTTATGATGGTTCAAGTCCTACATATAATTTTTATGATTGAGTGAAAAAAATAATAATCGCTCTCGGACGGTGACTCTCAAAGAACAAATTCCAGCTCTCAAAAACGGATCAAGGCCTGCTATTGTTTTGCCTTTTCCGGGCAACGATCCATTGGGGGCTCTAACAGATTAGTGGGGGTCAATATTGCACAAACAATTATAACTGATGCAAATGAAGTCTTCCCTACTATTGAACAGCCGTTATTAACGAAAGGGGGAACTACTTCTACAACTACTGATACTTCACAAAGAATACCCACTGCATCTAGTCTTCATATTGTACAAATGGAGATTCAAGATACTCCATTCTACATAGATACAGGTGAAAAGTACACAACTCACGATGAATTTGATATATCCGATGCCATTGGGTCTTCTCCTCAAACTGCAACTGCAGACAATCTGTAAAATATTAATTCACCTAATCCTGACAATTCGATGCAGTGTTTACCAAAACGTTTTACATCATCAAAATCAAGAGAACAATCTGCGAGTGATGAAGAAGAATATTGCAAGATCATACACTACGATTACGATTTTTCTGCTGATAAAAACAATAATTTTAAACTGGCTGCTAGCGTCAATGGCAATGTTCCACTTAATTATGAGGAAGCAATTTTGTCAGCTGATGCTGAAAAATGGCAAGCTGCATTGCAAAAAGAATTCAGAAGTCTTGTAGAAAATAGAAAATGGGATCAGGTGGCTTCATCTTCTGGAAAATATTTAACAAAAGGCAAATGGGTTTTTGATATAAAGCGTAAAAACGATGGTTCATTGGAACGATATAAGGCACGTTATGTGGCTAAGGGGTTTAGTCATTTTTATAGACAAAAATATACTGATACATTTTTTCACGTACTGTTATTATGACAACCATTCGCTCATTTCTCGCCATTGCAGCACAGCACAGTTTGAAAATGCAAAAACTTTGTATCAAAACAGCTTTTTTGAAATCAACTTTGCAGAAATAAAGTTTCAATGAGCAACCTCGTGGTTTTCAGTCTGGTAACCGTGATGTATGCAAGCTCAATAAATGTATTTACGGTTTAAAACAAGCGAGTCGAGCTTGGAATCAGTTTATAACGCAAACTTTACTGGAACTTGGATACTTAAGAAGCTCCTAAGAATATGAGTGTCATTGCTGTGTTTGTTGATGACAAGCTAATTTTTTATGTTGTCGAAAATTCAGTGCAAGAGCTGATTGCCACTCTTGGTAAGCGGGTTCGTATTGAAGATAAGGGTGATAGTATGTTTTCATGACTTGTAATAAAAAACTGAAAGACGAAACTTTAAAATTTTGTTCAGTTGTTTTAGTAGACCTAAAACAACTATAACTTTATATAAAATTCCTTCGAAATTTTCTCGATTGTTTAAGTGACCGTGCTTTTTGTCATATGACCATTTGGGACTGTGCCATTCCCCCTAATTGGCACAGCGTAACCTTCCGTCGCAGCACGAAAAAACTTTAAAGGCATTAGTGATCACTTTTTGTTGAAAAAGAGGCAAGATTATTCTGGAATTTTTAATTTTCGAAAAATCAATTGCGGACAGTCTTTTTCTAGGAAAAACAAGATATGGCCATTTTTGGTTGAAAAGTCATGAAAAAAACAACAACAATCGAATTAGCAAGAAAAAGGCAGTCGAAAAAATAGAAGAAAATACGAAGCCTTTTATCGTGACGATCGTGCTCGATAAGACAATTAATTGAAGTCAATAAAAGGAAAAAAGGGTTCAGTGGGCAGAAAGAAGAAGTATTACCCTCCCGTGCCACGAATTTGGAGTAATAACGAAGTTAAAACAGAGGAAGCACGGAATTTGAGGCTATTCCTCAGAAACCATCTTATGGCGAAGGACTGTAATAAACTGACTCTTTATCTACTCTGATGTCGTAAACAATTCAGTAAACACCGGTATAATTTGATATTTTATAATATGAGTAGCTAGGAAGAGGAAAGTGTCAATCCATCTCCAATGGTTTTAACATTGAAAGTTCACCGAA